ATTTGCGCTCAGGGTACTGGCAAGTACCTATGGCTGAGGACGCTCGACCGAAGACCGCTTTTGTCACTCCCGACGGCTTGTATGAATTCAACGTCATGCCGTTTGGGCTGTGCAATGCGCCCGCCACCTTTGAGCGCATGATGGATACCGTTCTGCGTGACCTGAAATGGCACACGTGCCTGTGCTACCTCGATGACGTCATCGTTTTCGCTCCGGACTTCTCCACGCATCTCCAACGCCTGCGGCATATTTTAACGCGTCTGAGTGATGCCAGTCTGCAACTGAACCTAAAGAAGTGCCGATTTGCAGCTCGGCAGTTGACAATACTCGGCTACGTCGTGTCCAAGAATGGAATTCTTCCCGATCCAGCCAAGCTTCGGGCCGTGACCGAGTTCCCCAAGCCGACATCCGTCAAGGAACTGCGCAGTTTCGTAGGGCTGTGTTCCTACTTTCGGCGCTTCATCCGAAACTTCGCGTCTATCGTATCGCCACTGACGAAGCTCCTCGGAAGTAACGGGCCTCTCCATTCGTGGTCATCACAGTGTGACGACGCATTCACAACGCTCCGTCGTTTGTTGACGTCGCCTCCAATACTCCGCCACTACGACCTTACGGCCCCTACAGAGGTACACACGGACGCCAGTGGTGTCGGTCTCGGCGCTGTCCTTGCGCAGCGCAAACCAGGGTTCCCGGAATATGTCGTGGCGTATGCAAGCCGTACGCTTACAAAAGCTGAGACTAATTACACCGTCACAGAGAAAGAATGTGTGGCAATCGTCTGGGCCCTTACCAAGTTCCGACCTTATTTGTATGGTCGCCCATTTGATGTAGTCACCGACCATCACGCACTATGCTGGTTGTCGTCACTGAAAGATCCCTCAGGCCGTCTCGCCCGGTGGGCACTTCGCCTGCAAGACTACGACATCCGCGTGCTGTACCGCAACGGAAGGCAACATGCTGACGCCGACGACCTGTCGCGCTCTCCCTTGCCTGACGACAATGCCCACGACCCAGCGTCTCACCTTGCCGTTTCTTCCATTAGCATTCATGCCGTTTCTACTAAACAGCGCAAGGATCAATGGATTGCATCACTGATAGACTTGCTGACTGATCCATCCACTCGCGCGTTGCGTCGTCAAGCCCACCATTTCGCCGTTCGCGACGACCTCCTCCACCGACGCAATTACAACGGTGACGGCCGCCAGTGGCTACTAGTCATACCCCGCAGTCTGCGCTCTGACATATGCGAATTCTTTCATTCTGATCCGCAATGTGCGCACTCCGGGGTATCGAAGACTTACCACCGCATTCGCCAACGGTACTTTTGGCGCGGCATGTACCGCTACGTGCAGAAATTCGTTCGCTCCTGCATAGAATGTCAGCGCCGCAAAACTTCAACGCACCTGTCGCCGGTAGGTCTGCAACCTCTACCTTGCCCTTCCAGGCCGTTTGGGTGCGTTGGCATCGATTTGTGTGGGCCACTTCCACTAACATCAGCTGGTAACCGCTGGGCCATTGTTGCTGTGGACCACCTCACGCGATACGCCGAAACTGCCGCTCTTCCCGCGGCTACAGCGAGCGATGTGGCCTCCTTCCTGCTCCAACGATTCATCCTGCGACACAGTCCACCTCGGGAACTGCTCAGTGATCGAGGCCGCGTCTTCCTGTCTGAAGTCGTCGAAGCCATTCTCAAAGAGTGCAACATTGTTCACCGCAAAACTGCTGCTTACCACCCGCAGACGAATGGCCTCACTGAAAGCTTCAACCGTACGATCGGTGACATGCTCTCCAAGTACGTCGCCGCCGATCACACAAATTGGGATGCCATTCTACCCTTCGTCACCTACGCATATAACACCGCCCCTCAGAGCACTACTGGCTTTTCACCTTTCTTTTTATTATACGGAAGGCACCCGTCGCACACCATCGACACTATACTTCCGTACAAGCCAGACCCGTCCGAGTGGGCGCCTATTTCTGCTGCAGCCAAGCTTGCTGAAGAGTGTCGAGAGCTTGCAAGGACCTTTACAGCGCATGATCAAGAGCGGCAAAAAGGCATTCGCGCTGACACCAGCGCTACTGCGCCCACTTTCCTCCCTGTAGCGCTCGTCTGGATCTTGATCCCTACCACATCAACTGGCCTATCTTCAAAACTATTGCCCAAATACGAAGGCCCCTACCGTGTCGTCAAACGCACTTCCCCTGTAAATTACTTGATCGAACCCATCGAACCATCTTCGGACATGCGCCGTCGAGGGCGCGACATGGTTAACGTGGAGCGCCTCAAAGCCTACCACGACCCGCTCATAGTAACCAGCTGTTAGGTCGCCAGGCGGCTCCCTCTTCGTACCCGGGGTAGTTGTGGCGAAGCCTTCGAACAGTGGGTCGTCCTCTCCAGCGCCTTCTAGTGGGTCGCCCTTATAGCAAAAAGAAGAGCAGCAGCTCGTGCAGAGAGACTGTCAAGCATCGTCGACAAGTGTCCGCCAACGCAATAAACGTCTCAACAATATATATATATATATATATATATATATATATATATATATATATATATATATATATATATATATATATATATATATATATATATTATATATATATATATATATATATATATATATATATATATATATATATATATGGCGAGTGAATATCGAATTCGGTGTATGTTTATCGAGGAATTCGCAAACGTATAAAATATTCCATGCCGTGATTATCCATGTTTCCGAAAGACAGTGCGCTGGCGTTCTGCCTGGGAACGTGCTGTTCGAAGAAATAGTTGGAGGGCTACGGACGGTGACCACCTCTGTTCTATTCACTTTGAAGAATGCTGCTTAGACAGAACGGGGCAGACAGCCAGACTGCTGCCGGGCAGTGCACCTTCGATTTCCTGCTTTGCGAGCGCATCTGCAAAAACCTGTCAGTTCCTACCTCCTTGACGTAGCTTTAATAGAATATGATCACCAAAGTAAGCAATTGCGTTTAAAACGAGATGAAACATCTTTGAAATCCGTTCTATCTTGCCGACGAAACCAAAACCAAAGCGCCGCGATAAACGAAGTTGCCAAAATGAGTGAGTGGCGATATATCAAACATCGATCGAGCTACCTCGTTTCTAAGCTCTGAAGGTTGCGCTTGCCATGTCAACACACGTCGCCAACGGAAGTTGATAAATATTATGCACAACTAATGCTACTCCAATCGTTCTTATAAACGGTTCATTTTGGGTACGTCTCCCGGAGTTTGTCGGTTGCACGCGACATTGGTGCTTTGGTTTTGGTTCCGCCTGTAAATTGGTTAGAATTTGATAACTCTAGAAAAATTACTGGAGACTCCCAGTTTACTTAATTTCCCCTCTTTTCTAACTTTGGCTTTAAATAATTATTTCAACTTCCTTGTATATGTCTGGTAATCTGCCGACACACACACAAGCACATATATGAACGAGGCGAGCAAATGTCGCGTTGCCCTTGATCTTGAGTATCTGCAGGCACAATTCTTAAAACACCCAATATATACTACAACCCTTTTGTACCGCAATAGTGCGCCAGCAAGCTCAATATGCGAAGCATCCCTCGGCAACAGATTGGTCTGAAAGCGTGCAGCGGACAATGGGTGCATGAAATGATTCGTTTCGTAAACAAGAAGAGGCATTTATTCGTTGGTGTAACCTAAAAGGGATTTTCATCTCATTTTTTTATCGTGGAAACCGACGCGCGCAACGCGCGTATTCCATTGCGATCTATGGTGGTTTCGCTCTTTTTTTTTTCCTCTAGCAATATGGCCGCCGGTGGCTTCACTTGCTCCTGTTGGCGGCGGCCGGGACTGCCACTCCGGAGGTTCTATAGAACCCCCTTGGAACTGTAGAACGCTGGTTGGGAGGCGATGCGTAATCAAATCAATATTTTTCGTTGCACTTACAAACGTACGTGCGCCCCATTATCAGTAATACGGTACACGATATCGAGTGCTTGATAAAAAAATACCAATAAATAAGTGAATACGCACGGTTTCCGAGGAAAAAGGAAAACTCTAATGAAGTTCAATAGAATTCAACAGTTAAACTCGTGGCATTTGGTTGGTTTAATTATGCCACAACATTTACTATAAGCCAATTTTTCTATTGCTGAAAGGTATGAGTTTTTCGCATGAGCTTCAATACTCTAATGACGTTGACGCTAGCTTAACTCATTAAACGTTTAACTCATAACCTAATAAACGCTAGCTTAACCCATAAAGTATATTTTCATAACTAATATGCTCTGAGTGCTACAGCACATATTGAATTTTCATCATTTTCGAGGGTTTTGGACACATTAATTGAAACACCCGGTACAGATGCGGACATTGTCGACTGGTGCAAGAAAAAAAAAAGAATATTAACGCAACAGCATTAAAGAGCTTATTTAGTAGATATGCCGGTGTCGGCGACGCCGTTTTAAACGAGAATCATCTTGGCCGTGAAAAGAAATCGAGAGAGTTGCAAATAAAATGAAAGATAAAAATTTTTGGTTTGAATTTTTCATGGGAATTCCACTGATGACACCATCGGCTCTGATTTTGAAGGAATGCAAGGAGCGCTAAAAATGTCAGCATTCACTAAAATGTTTCTCACTAACGACAGCCGCCGCAGTTAGCTATAGTCTTTGATCCTCTCGCGTTTTGTTCAGACATTTTAAGCCAAGTCAAGCCGGTTTTAAGCGGCTATTGGGTGAACCGAGCTATAGTGTACTAGAAGAACTGTAACCGAGCGTTTTGGCCCTCAAAAGGTTCGTGCCACCCGGTGGCAGCAGACGCGGCCTTTTCTCCCACTCAACTGAGCGTTCTGGGTCTGCAGGGGCGCTGAATAATAAAATCCGCTTGTTAGAGCGGATCTGTTGAGGAGGCGTTGGCCAGGCGCTTTTACGAGGCTCTCGGAAGCTGCGCGCTCATTGGTTCGTGCGTGATGTCGTCAGCAAACATGGCTGCGCTCGAAACGATACTGCAGGTGCTGGCATGAAGAAAGGATTCCTTCATAGCACTGTGTTCGCTGAGGCGATCTTGATCGTGAAAAACGCCTTCAGATAATTTGGAGGAGTGCGTAGAAACTTCAAGTGTGCTGAAAAACGCTGTTAGCGTGCTTCTGTCGACGCTGCACTTCACTGCTGCCGGCAGTGTTGGTCCGTTTTCAACGACGGCAGGAGACACCAAGAAGTTGGACAGTCGTATCCAGTGAAGATTAAGAAGACGTCGAGATGCCGGTCTCGGTAAGTTCTTTTTGTCTTTGCAGTTTCGAACAGAGCCATAAAATGCTTGTTTACGAGACCGTCGGTGCAGTCAAGTTCGCTTGCGTCGGGCAGGCGCAGCTTCGGTTACTACACTACCCAGCGAGAGCACGACTATTGCTGCTGTTGAATAGTGCCTTTAGTGCGCATAGACTTCAGTGGAATAAATTAAACAAATAAAGTAAAACTCAAACCCACAGCATGGAGTGTTTGTCGAAAGCTATAAAATAATAAAAAATACGCACGCGTTTGTGAGGCTTCACTGCAATACTGCTAGGTATTTTGGTGAAGGCATGTGTGAAACTTTACGATGGAGTGTCCGGAGTAATCATCATGTTGCAAATCACTGCAGTTAGTGTGGGAAAGACTGCAGTGTGTACATCAAAACTGCAATCCGGAATCGTTAGTGGTTTGAGCTCGCATTTTTTACACGTGAATTAATTGACAAATGTCCTGTGAATGAAGAGAATAACCAGGTGCATCTAAGTTGCGCGTAGGGTTCAAAAATGCACCCTCCTTGGCATTCCTTTTTACAGACAATGCATGTTCGCGAAAGACTAAGGAATTATGATAGTGTGCCAAGTGCACGTGACAGGGAATGCTACACTAGCTGCAGGGTTATGAATGATCAGTTTATGAACAGTTCATAATCTGTTTGCAGCACCTTGCTGAGAAATTACATGGGCCCTTTGCAACACTGCTAGTTCCGACTCCATGCAAAAAAATAAAAAAAACATCAGTACACCTCAGGTTGACAGGTAATGTTTGATTTATGTGAATTATGCTAACATTGTTACTATAAGTATACTCAAAGGTGTAACTAACAAAATCGTACATTGCTATGCTATTGATACATATTCTTTGTGCATTGTTCAAAAACATACTGAAATTTTGGTGATCTTGGGAAAGTTTGTTCACATTTTTCTTTCAATGCATGCTAACCTTGGCCTATCGTACAAGTTGCTAACAGTTGGTATGTAAAGAGACTGCACATCATACAGAGACACAGCACTCTTCTTGTTGTCATTTCTAACTTCTTTATTCCAATGCCTCAGTCCTCCGAGTTACCCAATGCAAGGAATCATTTGTTTTTTGCAACTGCTTAAGCTTGCTTCACTTCCGCAGCCCTTGTTTTCAAACCTCCTGGGATGATAAGGGGGTAATGACAGCAAAATTTTCATTTTATTGCGCCAAATGAAAAGCCCAGCCTTCAATGATCTATAAAATGCACTACAAAGTGCGAGTACACTCTGCAAAAGTAATTACAGTATGCTTTGAAAAGCTAGTTTCCATTTCTACAGGGCCCTGACATTGTAACACGATATGAGCTTCTTGTTATGTGCTTGTGCGAGAAATCGTGTAACTCGCTAGGCTGCTCTGCACTGTAGCTCCATTTCCGACCCACAAGCAGTCATTTTCATAGTTTTTGTGACGCTGATCATCACAACTAGCCAGGTTGCAGCATGAAGTCCATAGAATTGCCTGATGTTAGATATCACGATTTTATTTGCTTCTCATTTGCTCAGAGTCATCTTTGTATCCATAAGATACGTATGGCAGAGTAAACTCGCCTTTAAAAATTGGTGTCGTATTCCTTTAGAATGTTGTCTGTGGAAGCCAATTCGAAGGTGCCATTGAGGCCAACGTACCGGGCAGTCTTTAAATGGCCCTGCTGGCTTGTCAATTTGACAAAAGATAATGGCCCTCTGTGACTTGCTACTGAGTTTTGAAATTCTTTCATCACTTGCACCAAGTAACGCTAACATCACTAGCACCAAGGTACAGCTGAATTCTGTTTTTTGTCGAAGTTTCTTTTCACTCTCTTTCTCTACTTAGCTTCACCTTTTTTAGTTCTCACTACTGTCAGGCTCATAATCACTTCAACTCAGTCATGTTGGCTGGTATATATGTTGCTTTACAGGAGCAGTGAAAAGTCTGTTCATGAATGTTGATTTTTTATTTTTTTTTTCCACTCTTGCAATAGCCTCATTGAGGCTGCAGTATGTAAAAATACATAAAAAGTGGTGTGCACCCCAAAGATGCTTTTTAGGGCTGTGCATGATGAGCTGCGTCAATTAAGGGCAGCTCTTTCATTTTTCCAGGAAGTCTAGACATGTTTAATTACTTATTTATGTCTCAATTAGCATGTTTCACTTGCCCATTAACTGCTAAATGACATGGAGCAGTAAACCTGAGCGGAATTCGCTATTTGTTTGCCATTTATTGGGTTGATGACTCTGTAAATCTGGTTCACTGTCTCTGACAAATACTGACTTTTTGTCAGACATCATTTAGTTTAGAATTATAGTAGATCAGACTGTTGGTATCCCCTTTTCTGCTTTTGCTGCCACCGTACTTTTGCAAGCCATAACGTTTGGATATTTTGTACAAGATTCTTCGAAGCTCATGTGAATGACCTCAAACGGTGGAGAAAAGTATTTTGATTGTACCATTTATTGAGTCAGCTGCATAATCTTTAGCTTATTAATCTGTCACTCGTGATATTATTGTACTCATGTTGTGTCTTCTTTTATGTCTCCGACATGTGATCTGCTTAGTTCGCTTCATGTACGTCCACCGGATGCAGTCATGACCACTCAAATAACAGCGGTTATGATAAAGATTGAATATCTTTTTAATTAGTGTAGGTGGCAATGAGATCAATCTTGCTTGTGTCAGTTTTAGAGCTTCAGTTTCTTGTCAAAGCTTGACAGCATGTACTGTTTTACTCATCAGCAAGTGGGATCTGCAATATGGATACTGCACCACCGTCTTTCATTGAAGCTTCCGGGTGCTTTTAGGATGGCCGGTGCTTCTTTTTCTGTTGTCGTGGTATTTACTTCCGCTTCGTTAAACCTGTGGTAAACGCTTCGCTGTGGTAACCAACCACACAAAGTTAGCAACTACTTGGCAGTCTTTTATCTCACTATAAGAGTATAGCTCCTATTCAGTATTGTGATTCATCTGTATTCAGCTTCTAGTATATTCAGCTTCTAGAGCATCTAGTAGATTAAGTACGGGATCACGTCACATTTTTTAACAATGCAAACCTCCCTGTGCTTACGTTCTTTGCGTTCATTCTTTGATTTAACCACTTGTGCAGCTGTGGGTTCTTGTACTTGATGTTATGGCATCTCTGTGACTTGCTCTGTGATGTTGACACACCTAAAACTGCAGGCTTCTTCGCATGCAACTGTCCTGAAAACAAATATAAATGTCACAAGACAGCAGGTTGCTGAACTAGGAATTTAAAACCATTTTGTTCTCTTCTCCCCCCTCAGAGGCTGGCCCCCGAAGCAATGTGGATCAGTGACTAGAGCTAGAATGCTACCGGATACTGCTGCTCAGCTCAGTGTGGACAAGTACTGCAATGAGGACAGCGTCTGCCTTTGTGGACTTTTTCTCATTCTGCTTCTAATTTCTAATTCTGCTTGACAGGAAACTGTTGTGCAACATAACCTTTGCTAACATTTGAAAATGTAAAATGAACCTATGAATTGCCAGAGCAAACCTGCTCCTATTGAGACTTTTACTTATACATTGAATAAAAAATAATTGCACATAAAGTTTGTAGTACTAGATGTTTTTACTTCCACTTGTCCTTAAACAAGCAAAATCTGTGCTGTTAAGTCATCTGTAAGCACAGTTACACCACAGTACTGTCAGTCATCAGAGGTGAAAGCAAAGTCGAGCCCACCACAAATTTTCGAGTGCTGGGTGTACTTGCCACTGTGAAATGACTTTAATTTCTAGCACGTTCATAATCCTTGAATTCAAAAGCTTTTTGTGGGAATAAAGTCAAGGCAAACTTGTAATATAATTTCCAGTAGAAATGGTAATAAAACAACATTCAGTAATTATACATGGCTATGAAAAAAAAAAGGCTGCAGAATCTAATTAATGATACATCAGACAACTCAAATTTACATGAGTGATAAATGTAAAAATAACTCATACAGTAATACCTCTAAAGATAAAAGAATACTAGTATATAAATATGGATTAGTTATGATTGCTAAATGAGATTATGAATTTTTTTTAAGTGATGAATGACAATTATTCAGTGTATAGTAGTATTGTATCCCAAAAATGTATGGCAACAAATATAGTAATGTGTTCGCCGTAGTTAGTGCATTTATATGGTAGTAAAAAATTGTTGTTAGAGGCGAACTTGGTGGGATTAGCGTTTACCAATTGAAAATTTTGCAAGACATTGGCTGTTACATAACCGTTAAGATACTTAAATACAAGAATCTCCATTTTATATTTGAATAAATTATGCACTGTTAGTACACTATGTTGCTGAAAAAGTGGGGACACACTGGTGAATAGAGTACTGAATGTTAGGATGTGAATGGCTTGGTTTTGGAGACGAAGTGGGAGAATATGAGATGGATGCAGTACATAACATGACTGTGGATAAAGGCGTAGTATAAGCAAAGTTGAAGAATGGTCGTGCTTTAATTAATGGTCTGATACCAGGAGCTATCTTCTGCCTTACAAGTGAAATGTGATGATGGTACTTTAGATAAGCATCTAGGACTACTGCCAAGAATGTGAACATAGTGGCAAAAAGATTTCTGTGGCCGTTGATAGTAATAGCGGGGGTAGGTGAAAGAGCGTTATGACTAGAATTGAAGACAATGAACTGTTTTATTTGAGTTAATTCTTAAACCATTAGCTGTGCACCAGTTCTTTAACAGTAATGGTCTTCAAGGACTTCTGCTGTGCACTTATAAGAGCTCTTTGCATCCCCTTGTAAATCCGAGAAAATGGGGGACTACAAGCAGGCCGTTGTGAGCAGCATGTGATTGCTTCATTTTGACATTTTTTTTAAACCTTCACTCTTACACCATGCTAGACAGCTAAGGGTGCAAGCTGCTTTAAGGATCAGTGGGCTTTGCCACATAGTCTTCATTAACAGTGGCACTTGTATACTGCTCTGCTTCACCAAATGGATGCACAATAAAACAGAAAAAGATAGATAGTCTCTATTAACAGTGGCACTTGTATACTGCTCTGCTTTACCAAATGGATGCACAATAAAACAGAAAAAGACAGATAGTCTCCATTAACAGTGGCACTTGTGTACTGCTCTGCTTCACCAAACGGATGCACAATAAAACAGAAAAAAGATAGCTATTAGTATTACATTTCATAATCGGTTGTACATCTACACAATTGTAAAAAAATGAAATTTCAACTTTATGGATTTATAGATGTAAACATATCTTGGAGAGACATAAAACTTAATATTGTTAAGTGGTCATGATGATGAAGACTGCAGCAGTCAGCGGGATAGAGACCAAACTTTTTATTTTAGCGAACCTTTGCCTGAGAAACGGCAAGTAAAACTACAAGCAATAAATAGTCAGCGCTGATAGCGGTAAACAGTGCATTGGCCATCAATAATCTGACAAGCAATACAGTGCATCTGTTTTTATACAAGTGCTATTAAAAATTCCAGGGTTATTACTGGTGGCTGCGTAAGCTCCAGATTATTCGCATCCTGTCCACAAACTTAATAGTGTGATCTCAAGTTATCACGGAGCTCCTGAAAAACTGCTGCGCCGAGTGTTGCTTAGAGTCTTTGTGGGTGAAACCCGACTTTATCGAAATAAAACACACGTGGCAACATGCATGTACTTAGTTGTCAGGCTTGTCAATTATTTGATAAATTTATCCCAAGCAAAAAGATATTTTTATCCCGAAAGGCCAAAAAAACATCTGAATATGGTGTGTTGTGCTGCATGTGTTATTTCTGTGACAAACATATATAGCAATTCACATAGCTGTAGTAACAATATGTGTGGAAATCACATTTCCCAAGCTGTTTGCTATGGCAAGTGATTTCTTTCATTTTCAACTCATCTTGTGACAGCCCTAACTAATCATCTCATATCCAGAATTATCTGGCAAGAATAATGAACATATTGCATTCTCTTTCTTTCTCCTTTCTTTCAGGACAACATGTAAATGTTGATGCGAGACTTCGAAACCATATTTATCATTTTCTTGTGACAAAGCACCCAAACTGTGTAGGCATTTGACTCAACTTGAGCCAGAAAATGGATGCTTTCAAAGCTTCTCACAAAATACTTTTCATCGATATTAATTATTATAATTTAACCAGGTTGTCACTCGTGATTTAGGCAAGAATTGCCCCAATGTATTGGCACTCACTGCATTTTCTGTCTGGCATGTTCTAATTGTAAAAGGTACTTTTGTGTAATTTTCTGTGTTAATTTTATTCCTATCTCAGCAGAGTTAATTGTGCTGTCTGGCCTTGTGTTTTTATAACTATTGCACAAATAATGCAATACTAAAGTGCTTATGAACAGGCTCATGCTTAGTTTACTGGTGTAAGCTAAGAGTAAAAAAATATGTGCTATGAACTGGTTCTTCTTGCTAATAGACAAGATTTAGAGCAATCTTCACCAAATACACTTATGCTACTCCCATTTCATGTCACAAAGTGGCATCACTTGTAGCCAGGTACATTTCTTTTTTTTATTTACGTACCTTAAGGCATGTGGAAAGGTTTGTTCAATGTCGGATGGGATACAGCACAAAAAAAAATCACTCATGATGTTTTCAGGTGCGCAATCACATTCATACAAAAAGATGGTGGGTCATTGGTGATGACAACATTACTAGGGGTGTGCAAATATTTGAATAAGGAATCGAATAGCATTCGCTAGTCGAATTGAACAGTACATATATGAAATACTGAATATTTAAAAAATATCGGCCCTTATGGTACAAACCTGAAGTAGCAAAACATGGGATCAACTGAAGGTTTATTTACTTTGTGTAATCCCTGAATAACCACAATAAATACACCACTATTGATGCTATAACCATTACTATAGATAAAGCATTTTCGCTGCAAACTGCACTTTTACTTTGTATTTTACTATGGTGGAGCTGCATCACGTTATTCATTTCCTGTATTCATCATTGAAGTTAGAGACTGTAGTTGCACCCAGCTTCACGAATAAAAACACATGCAAGTCTTTTGTTCACGTAAATTGTTCTTACAGATACAGCTTTCAACACTTGATTTTTACATGCTCTCTGTGCCATGGTATATGTTGTAATAATTTTGCCTGTTCCAATAAATCTTTAGCTCAATGCATAGTGTTCGGTTCAAAATTGTTTAGCTTTTATGCTGCAATTCTAATTAAAAGCTGGCAGCAGAGTTTCAACTTGAATAATGAAGTTGCTGTGGTATTTCGACATACAGTTGAAAAGTATTTCGAAGGCTCTGGTCACTGCTCTATACAAGCTTATCACAGTTTTCATAATTTTAGTATTATTTGGTGACAGTTCGTGAATACTTACTTCAAATAAACTGTTGTGGAGTTCCAGGATTATTTTTTAAAAGCGGTTTTCTTACTATTTGAAAACTATCAGAAGAGTATTAGGTTCGTTTAAGCATTTGATTTGGTTGTACCGCTATTGGATTCGTATTGAATTTGCTTCTGAAATTCACTACTCGCAAACCCCTTGCTTGCATGCGTTTTGTAATATGACAGTGCTCGTGTTGTCAACGCTTCACTGCTCTACAGGCATGCATCGTGGTGACGTGAGCAAAAAAACGCCGGCTGGAGGCTGGTTCTTTATATGCACGACATACAGTAAATTTCGAAGTGTATTTGGCCTATAGGGAATATTCTGTCACCCGCGTCATTCTCTTCTAAAATTAGTGGGACCTCTCGCATTATGTGAACGAAATTGCTTCGCGTTAGACTTGCAAACGAAGAGATTCGTTTGCAAATCTATTGAGGTGCTGCTACAGATATTCGGCTTCTCATTTCGCATTGCTATCGTAAACTGTAGCGGTGGTATTCACTACGTGTAGCCTAAGATATGCCAGAGTGAGTGCAAGCTGAGTGACGTGCACGACGTAGGCACTCAAGTGCTCTGACACCGGCTCTTTGAGCCGAGTTACGATTATTGGCTCACCGAGTTACGATTATTGTTATATAGTCCGCACATATCCGCACATGAACTCTTTACCCCGTCATTTTCCATTGTTCACTGCATGTCTGCGCCGACTACAAGGCTCTCGGCGATCGTTGCAATCGGAGCGACAAGTCTTTCGACAGCGTCGACACAGGCGTGCGCACAGTGTTTCTGTAGCACCTTAGTAGCACCAACTACTTGATAGCGCCGTCTTCCCATTCATTGTAGGTGGTTTGCCAGTCCACATACGATCGTCAAGTTTGTTCACACCTTCGCCGGGGCGTCTGCATCAGCTGTGCCCACGTCCGACACACGAACCCTGCTCCATCGTCATGGGCGCAGCAGCTTCCGACAGCCTCGAAATTACGCATGAACCAATGAGCACGCAGCTTTCGAGAGCCTTGTAAGGCCGCCTGGCGCAGTGCATTGTGGGGGAGTCTATCCGTTAGTCTTTGTAAACTCGCCATCGTGCATGTGCCCCCCCACCCCCCGAAATTTTTTTCTGCCATGGCATGGAGAGCGAAAAAGGCCATTTTAAGGGGGTGCCCCTCTGGAAATCAAGGTGGTGCCCTCTCCGAAAAAAATTCTGGCT